GGCGGGACGGCAGTATGGGTGGGGCTGGCGCTGTGGGCAGGACTGCAGTGTGGGCGGGGCTGGTGCTGTGGGCGAGCAGCGGCCCACAGCAGCCCTAGCATCCAGCCATCCCGCGGAGCTCTGTGGTGGGGTCAGCCTGCCCAGCCAGAGATCTGGGCACAGCAGGGGATGGCAGAGCTCTCAGGCCCTTTTTCGTGCATGCCGAGTGTGGGAACGAGTGTGGGTACTGAGGGCCATGTCCACAGGCGAGGGAGGCAGTCTTGGTTTCTTCATGCAACTGGCTGATCCCGGTTCACACCCCAGTCGGAATGCGTCGCCTCCCTGCAGACTGGCAAGCTCACGTGCCAATCACACGCCCATCCCAGCTGCAGTCTTAACAGAGGACAGAACCAGAACCCCTACAGGGTGCCAGCCTCAGGCGTCCAGGGTGCATGTCCTCATCACAGGCAGGGCCACCCCTCCAGCTCTTCTCTTAGACCCCATCATGGCTGAGGGCCCTGCTGACTCACTGCCTCATCTGGGTGGGGGGCCTCCCCCCGACTCCAGTCCCAAATCGTACCTGCTACTCACCTCCTGCCAGCAGTGGGGGACACCAGCCCCGCCCGGTCCCACTGTCTCTTCTACCTGGAAAAGAGTAGCTTCCTGGGCCTTGTTCTCCACCCCCTGCGCTTGTCTGGGGCCTTGGGAGGGGCCCCCAGTGCTGCAAAGGCCTTCTCAGCCAGATGGCCTGCCTGTGGCAGAGCCCCCAGTGGCCAGCAGAGGGCACGCCACCCTGCTGTGGCCCCTGCTCTGGCGCAGTTCCCAGGTCAGGCTTGGTTCTTGAAAGAGCCTTGCAGGGTGCCCTCTCGGGAGGGCCTGGGGTAGTGTGGGACCTTCAGCTCTCAGAACCGTGTTCCTGGCAGCCACGGCTTGGGCCAGTGCCCATCGAGGCCCAGGTTTGCTGTCCCCTGGAGGGGGTGCCCTTGCACTGCCAACCTCACTGCAGCTGAGCCGGCAGGGCCTGCCTGGGAAGGCTTCTGGACTTCTCTGTGCCTGGCAGGCCCCTCCGCACACTGGCCGCGGTGTCCTGCCCCCTTACCCAGATCTGGACAGCGCAGGTCAGCCAGCTGGGCCCTGCCCGTCCTGTATGCCCCACAGTGCCCCCAGCTCTGGGGTAGCTCCGGGCCTGTCCGCAGTGCCTCAGGGAGATGCTGGCCGGAAGTCCGGGGCTGCTCCTGTCCTCGGTATACGGGCCCCTCGGACCCACGTTCTCGGGCCCGGGTGCCCTTTGTGGCATGGCCGGCCTTCTCACGCCCACCCTGGTGCTCGCCCGCAGAGACACTACACACAGTACCACGGTTTTGTGGTCATCCACGGCACCGACACCATGGCCTTCGCCGCCTCGGTGCTGTCCTTCGTGCTGGAGAACCTGCAGAAGCCCGTCATCCTCACCGGGGCCCAGGTAACCTGCGGCGAGGCTCCCGGCAGCCCCTGGGCAGGCGGTGGGCCAGGGTTCGTGAACTGTAAGCCTGCTGGCACGAGACTGTCCTCCTAACAGGCCTCCCGTCTGACCACCTGGCTTGGCACGGAGCAGGTGTCCCAAGGCCCTGGCCACTTCCCTGCCTTTGTCCCTGTCTTCATTCTCTCTGCTGTGGTCCCCGTGATGCAACCCTCAGGGGCCCTGGTTCCTACACTCCTCTCTTCTCTCTAACCCAGCACACCCCCAGTGCCAGAGCCGGTGATGTGCTGGGAGGTGGCTGGGGAGGTCCCGACCCCCACCTGGGGTCCCTGTTGCCTGTGGCTTCACAAGAGCAATTCAAGAGCCGGTCCTGTCTGCGCCCCACGGTGGGGACCAAGGCCTTTGTGTTCCAGCTGGTCCCTGAAGGATGCTCCGGGAAGTTCTGGGGGAAACCCCTGCCAGACCTGCTGGGTCCATCCCTGACTGTGGGCCCTGCCCAGTCTCTCTGGTGTCCCGTGGGTCCCACAGTGGGACAGTCCCACTCGGAGGAGGCCCCAGGCTGCTATGCACTGGGTAGCTGCCGGGCTTCTGCTCGGGAGGGGTTGCAGTCCGTGTTTCCCCAAGGCCTCTCTCCCGCAGGCCGCACCCTGGTCTCACGGTCCCGCGAGATGGACGGGGCTCGACTGGCTCTCCTCCCCTCTGACCCTCCCAGGCCCTGTGGCAGGACCACGCCTCTCCCAGGGCAGGCCGTGCTGTGCTGTCTGCGGGCTCGGGACCACGCATGCATGCTCTAGCCCTCGCACCGGCCTGCTATAACCAAGGGGAAGCTGAAGCCCAGTGACGGGCTTGCCCACGGCCATGTCCGCTTTAGAGGCAGGG